AATTTCCTGCCTTATCAGATTCTCCGATTTGCTGATACTCCTTAGCCAAGTTACTCCTCGACTGAAGCGTATCTGGGTGATCTGGTCCTAGCACCTTTGTTCGAAGAGCCAGTGTTCGTTCACCTAGTTCTCTTGCCTCCTTGTTCCTCCTTAGTTTATTGTAGTCTACCGCCAGATTACTCATGGAGAGGAGTGTATGAGGATGTTCCGGGCCTAGGGTATGCTTGCGTAATTTCAATATCTTCTCGTCTAGACTTCTTGCCTCATCATAATCTTCTAATGCTCGATAATCGCCCGCGAGATTATTCATTGACATGAGTGTATCAGAATGTTCGACGCCCAATTTAACCTCCCGAACGGCCAGTATCTGTTGGTCCAAAGCCAACGCTTCCCTAAATTTCTCCATTTGAAACAAGTAGACGGCTTTGTTGCTCATCGATGTAAGGGTGTCAGGATGATCTGGTCCTAGTTTCTTCTCTCGCATAACCAGAACTTGCTCTTCAAGTTCTAGTGCCTTGTCGCACTGTCCCAACTTGAAATAGTCGATAGCAAGACTGGTCATCGAATCAAATGTTCCAGGGTGATCAGGTCCTAATATCCTCTTTCTTGACTCCAACACTTGCTCGTCTAACTCCACTGCCTTGCTATATTGACCTAGGTAGTATAGATCCATCGCCAGATGATTCATAGATACTAAAGTGTCAGGATGATCCGTTCCCAGCACCTTCTTTCGCAGCTCCAATGTTTGCTCATCCAAAACCTTGGCCGACTCGTAATGACCCGAACTCTGAAGAGCAAGCGCGAGGTTGCTCATCGAGATAAGCGTATCCGGGTGCTCTGGCCCCAGAATCTTCTTCTCTAAATCCAGATTCAGTTGGTTGAGTATTTTGCATTTGTCATATTGGCCCATTTGATAGTGGCTAAGTGCCAAATTGTTTCTCGACGCAAGCGTCTCTGGGTGCTCTGGCCCTAGAACCCTTTCACGAGTAGCGAGCACTTCTGAATTCGCCTTGAATGCCTCTTCAGATTTTCCCATCATGTAATATGACTGTGCCAAATTACTCTTCGAGAATAATGTGAGGCGATCCTCTTCCCCAAGGGCAGTCACGCATGCTGCAACTGTCCCCTCGCCAACTTCGATTGCATCCTGATAGCTTCCGAGTTGCAAGTATGCCCATATGAGGTCGCATCTCGCTTCGAGTTTTTCACGCGCATACTCTGTCAGTTTTCGATCTGCTTTCGTGAGATACGAGTTCAGGTGAACGATGGATAGACCAAAACTTCCTGAATCGCTTAGAACCTGATGTAGTAGAATATCATCACTAGCTACACCGAGGGGCTCGCCGGCGAAAGGCTTGAGGTGGGGTAGGAGTGGATAATGCATCGTGAAATTCTTAGGAGACGAACCCCGCTGAACGTTTGAGAGTAACATTCTTCGCGCGAGACTTTTATATGGCGGTTTCCCGTTTGAATGTGGTACAACGCGTAGCCAAGTCTGAACGAGAATATGCATAGAATAAAGTTTCTGTTGATCGTCGGAGGTTGTGACTTGTAGAAGAGAGTATTGTAAGCATGGTTGAATGATTTCGTTGAATTCGTATTCGGACCACCGTCCTGTTGGACAGAATATATCGCACAAGATATTGGATTCTTGCTTGATCTCGTCCCACTTGTCGTCGTCTGCTTCGCTAGCCTGCCCAGAAGCATAGAAGAACTTGTTTTGAGCAGATCTGGTAATAATTTCATGTGATATCGAGGTGTTATGAAAGAATGAAAGGATAAGAAGCACATCCTTTGATCGTTGGGGGAGTTTACTGAACGACATGTCCAAGA